AATAATAGAAAAGGAATTAAAAAAAAACTTGGTGCGATCCAAAGGAGGTGTTCATGCGGATGCCTGACGTATTTTTCTTTTAAAGAAGAAAGGGTTTCAGAATTTTTTTAATCCTGGTTAGGTTATGGTTAGGTCTAGTAGAACGTTCGTTCAATGGTAGGTTATTCCAAGCTGCAGCATCTTTCTAACAAAAGTTTCTTTTAAGAGCATTAGTGTTCAAGATTTCAAGTTGGGTTAGAGAGCAATTATTACTTCTCAGCGGATAAACTGAATTTAATTAAAGAGATTGCAAATAGTTCCCGCTGCAGCGAGTTTCGGCCCTGGTTTCGGCGGGTAGCGGAGTGAAAACCCTTAGTATCAAAGGTTGGCTCCTATCTACCCCATAATTTCTAACGTTCTTTCTGCGTATTCCACAGAATTTTCCTGGAATTCATCGGGCAAAAACCACGTGGGGTCAAATAAAATCCGGTCAATCATGTTTGGCATGTTTGGCAGGGTGGTCTGGTTTTGCATGTGTAGCGATCTGTTGTTTACAATATTTATTTTGAAAGATTAGCACTGAAAGACTCTTTTGCAAAAAATTGGTCACTTTGTGGCAATTTTAAAAATATGTAAGCTGTTCTGTCGATACTATTGGAAGTGGAATGTTTCTTTAATAATACAGAAGACATCACAGACATGCAAATGCAATCGTTTTCGGCTTTCCAAAAGTAAACGATGGCGGAACCTGCTGGTATGTTTGTTTTGGGCAGCTTTTTGAACGCTACTAAAAATATAGCAACTATAAATTATGCATGTATTTATAACTAGCTATTAGTATAATATACTGTATATTTGCATCGCTGAATCTTGAATATTTATAAAGGATATTATAGTAAACCCCACTAGTACATGGCAAGGACTTTAGATTATGCCGGGAATTGTATCATGATATCTTATCAACCGAAGATTTAGACTTTTAGTGTGGTGTACACTGGGCAGGAGATGGTGGCCAAAGTCAGAAATGTTGACTATACATGGGCAAGAAAATTAAACTACATCGATCTCTCAATTTTAGTTGCCTCCAAATTTATATTTGCCTCCAAAATATAAGACTACTACAAAGAATGAAAGGACATTTTCAAATTAATATCTTATATATAACCCTTTTTCAGATATTAAGAAACCATTTGGTCAGAAAGAACCCCCACTAACTGATCAAATTGTAAATATATTGGGTCGTTATCCTGATGGAGGGCAGATTTTGAAGGTAATTTAAAATGCAGTATTACTCTGGCGTGAAGCAATAATATTCGCAATGCACCCTAACGAGAAAGTGCAATCTCATTGGTGCCTATGATTTTGGCATAACTCAGTTGCAATGCTATGGGGCTTTGGTGGCCAAGTGGTTAGCGCATTTGCCTTTTAACTCTGAGGCCGCAGGTTCAAGCCTCAGTGAGTACTTTCTCAATGCGACTCGAAACCCAGTCCTCATGTGAAACGAGTAAAAGTCAACGCTCTGCCGAAAGTTGTGGGTTTTCCTCGGGTACTCCGGTTTCCTCCCATAGGGGAAGTTCACAGGGTGGGTTAATAGGTGAAAGGGCCCACAGTAATTGGCATATATGCTGTTGTGGTGACCCTGCCCTAGTTGGCAAAGCTAAATAAATAAATAAATGCTGTAACCATGAGAGGCATTCACCCCCCTGAAAATATTCAAAATGGTGGATGTTCGGGGGTTAAAACGTCTTGTAAGCGCACTGGCTAGGCAGAGGTGCCGGAGAATTGATAATAGCGGGGGCAGATATACATATATTCCTGTTCACAGACTGTAAAAACAATCGATTTCAAAAGAAATTAATTGGGCAGAACACAAATATATGAATATCTGCCCCCAATTATCGATATTCCGGCGCCTCTGTGGCTAGGAACATGATGAGTGCATTTTGATGACAAATCATTGTGAATTGGTTATGCTTTTTTTGCCGAGTCAGACGTTGTGAGTGTCTATTATGCAATGCAGTCCTTGTAATTTGCCTCGGCACTCGATTGCCCAGGACAAGGTAATTCTACCATGAGTTATAGACATTATTAGTCTTTTGAAAAGACTAATAATGTCTATAAACTCTTTTGAATAGTTAATTATATCACCGAAAGCCTTTCTGAAGACTCTAGAAATAATAATAACTGTACTTGACAAAGTTACATTACAACAATTTTTAAACTACAGTGCATGTGAAATAGATATTTTCAGTTAACACATTAAGTGCCAGCGCTCTCCCCTTGACGAGTAAAATTGTCTGGCGTTAGACAGTAAAATACTAAAGTAGGGTGCATCAGGGTGCAACGCGACTCAATGGGTTAACTAGACACATGGGCAGATAGGTCAGTTAACCCATTAAGCGCCAGCGTTCTCCCCTTGACGAGTAAAATCGTCTGGTGTTAGACAGAGTAAAATACTAAAGTAGGGTGCATCAGGGTGCAATGCGACTCAATGGGTTAATGTAAACAAGAACACAAAAGTCAACATATTGACTTTGAATCACCTTCTTGTGTATTAGTGTTTGATAATTAAGGTTAATTTGTCCATCCCAGCCTAGCAAATCAAAATTTATACAATATAGCTTGGAGTAATAATCTTGAATTGTGTCTGTAATTTTATTGGCAGGCAATGTATTGTTTTCCGGGTCATAACATGAAATATAATAGCTAATTCGCATGGCAGTGGCAGATTTTTGATAGAATATTTTTGGAATTTTAGAATATTGCACAGTTTAATAGGTGTGCTTGAATTTGTCCAGTTTCATGTGTCCTGTATGTATGGGAATTGAATACAGTCCTGAATCATGGCTGCCAAGTCTCACGAGTAAACGGTTTACCCGTGAGTCTCCAGATTTTTGCGCTGACCTCCAGGTCTCACGATGGGTCTTGAAAATCTCACAGAATGCTATTAAAATGGTCCTTTATGCATGGATTCTGCATCTATGCTCTGAAAAAAAAAATTTGCAAAAATACCGTCTGTTCTTTTTGAAAGAAAATCTGTACGTATTTGTAAAATGACACGCATATATGGCAATTTGGTACCCTAAGCATGCCCAGTCAACAATAATATAAAGTCAACAATTTATAAATAATTTGATTAAAATTTTTCAGTATTAAAATATTGTCTGTGCTACTCTGTAATAAATAACATTGATATCACTATTATCACATATATCGCTGTCAGGGGGAGGGGGGTTACGAACTACGTACTAAAGGCCCCAACAACCTCCAGGTTTTTAATCAGGCAGCTCTGCTGAATATATCTGTCCATTGCCATATGTGAATGGGGCCTCTGCGTAGTCTTATTTTCACTGCACTCAATATATTATTTGACTTTTGATCAAAAGGAATTAATTCAGAACGCTGATGATGCAGGAGCCAAAGAAGTGAAGTTTCTCTATGATGGTCGATCATTTGGCAAGAAATATCTTGCTACTGAGCACCTGCAAAAGTATCAAGGACCTGCACTCTACACATTTAATGACGCCATCTTTAAACCTGAAGATTGGGAAGGAATCCAGAATCTAATGCGAAGTAATAAAAAATCTGACTTACTCAAAGTTGGCAGATTTGGAATTGGCTTTAATTCTGTCTACCACATCACAGGTTTGTTCTATAGTTAAATGACCTCTGACTCTGTGACATATCACTTTGATTTAATGTTCGTTTGTAATTTGTTTGTGTTAGCTTGTTTGTGTGTCTGTCAGCTGCCAGAAAGTAAACAACTATCAAACGTTTGGTTTGAACAAAGAACAAGTCTATAATACAGGATGGGATGTCTAAAGTTGGACCTTGCTTGTCAACCACACCCATCAAATTTTCTGCCCTAGCAAAAAAAGTCTATAGGCATGGCCTATAGGTCAACCTACAGGTTTCCATAGGAAACCTATAGGTTTTTATAGGCAATTGGAACATTTTCTATAGGTGACCTATAGGGATGCCTATAAGTCTGTAGAACTCTATAGGTGCCTAAAGGCTTCTATAGGGAATTGGAACAATTCCTATAGGAACCTATAGGCCACCTATAGACTTTTTTCGTAAGGGTGTTGCAATGCTACTGAAATATTTGGATGGTCAATTTAAAAATCCTACACCTAAAATCCACTTTAATTAAATTACTCAAATTATTGGGTTATGGTAAAACTAGTATATCATGCTCATAATCTTTGGATATTAACTCTCAGACCAAATGCTGTAGTATTAATTAATTATTATTAAATGCAGTACTTAGTATGTAATACCACAATTTTATCTAGCACAGTACAATCTGATTTGTCTGATGTAGTGGTTGACCGGTTGTAGTGATTATTCACGCAACAATCTACTCAATACCACAGTGTAATGATAAACTGTGCCAATACCGATTTTATAATGACGTCATAATGTCAGTCGACTGAGTGAAGGTGACGTCATTCCGTTTTTTAATGATAGTTTTTCGACATTTGAAAAATAACCAATCAGCA